GCCCCCATATGTTGAATTTAAAATACAATGATGTGGGGCTCCTGGGTGGCTCAGTCGTTAAGCGGCCAACTTCAGCTAAGGTCAGGATATCACGGTTCATGGTTTCGAGCACCACATTGGGTTCTGTGCTGACAGCTCAGAGCCTGGAGACTGCTTCGGATTCTGTGTCTCCTTTCTCTGTCCCTCCCCCACTCATGCTCTATTTCTGTCTCAATAATAAACATAAAAAATAATTTTAAAAAAATGCAATGACTTATAAAGATAGAGAATGTTGGAATACCATGAGTCTATAAGTTGTGTTGATTTATGTAAAGAATTATATGTCAAATATTAAGTGAAAATATTAGGGAAAACCATAAACATTGGGTATGGCTCTGGTTGTAATCATAATACGCATGGGTGCAATTTATTTAATGATATACTGTATACAAGTTAGTTCCATGATCCTCAAAATAAACTTTTGAGGTAGATATATTATTCTATATTTTATAAATGAGGAAAGCAAGTTTTAGAAAAATAAAAATAAATGTAAAAATGACGTTTACAAATAAATACATTGCCAGGTGGGACCTGAATCTTGGTTTCCTGATTCCAAAATTGGTGCTCCTTAGTAATCATAACTAACTCAATGCAGAGTCACAAAAATTAGATATGGTTTTAAAGTGGTATAAAACAGTTAAGGATCCAGGCTCCTATTTTTCTCTTTTAAATCACTTATATATACCTCAGCAATAGTTTTAGGAAGTATATTTAGTATACTACCAAGTCTTATGTAGAATGTAATCTTTCTTAAGAGGAGTGGTTAAAAGGGCAATTACGAATAAAAGTGGCTTATTTTGAGAGTTTAGTATAGGTAAATACTGGGAAATGGTCACAATAAAAAGTCAGTGGTTTTACGAGGAGGCGGTGTGCATCCTCAGCACTGTTGCTGCTGATGGGTTGCGGCAGGATTCAGCTCCTCTTAGAAGGCAAGCAGCCAAACCCTCTCTGTGGGGACAAGTCTGCCGATTGCTGTACAAACAAATCTTCAAAGATGAAATAAAACCCTCTTGGTGTCTATGGGAATATTGTTTAGACACAAATCAAATATTTAGTGATTCAACCGGAACAGCTTATCAGCGCCGGCCTAGGAGGAATCATAATTAACAGAACCGAATGTGGCATGGCTCACAAGAAACTGATAGGGAGGAAGACTCTGAATTTCGCCCTTCTATTGCTTCAGTCGAAGAAAGATCTTGTGAATCATTGATGGTGACTTTCAGTGACAACTGCCCACTGGCCATATCCCAGAGAATCCAAACACAAAAGTAGCATCTTTTTTATTTGTATTTATTTATTTTTTCTGAGAGAGAGAGAAACAGCAACAGGGGAGGGTCAGAGAGAGAGGGAGACACAGAACCTGAAACAGGCTCCAGGCTCTGAGCTAGCTGTCAGGACAGAGCCGGACTCGAGCTTGAACCCATGAACTGTGAGATTATGACCTGAGCCAAAGTCGGATGCTTAACTGACTAAGCTACCCAGGCACCCCTGAAAAGTAGCATCTTTACTTCCTGGTAAGTGCAGGAATGAAGACAATATTTGTATCTTCGAGAAAGGAAACTCTAGGAGTATCAATTCTGGCCATCTGGAATATTCAGGTATGGCCAGACACTGAGATAGATTTGATGTGCTGAACAGAAGCAGAAGGAAGAGTAAAGCAGGTGAACAATACTACACAATCTCTAAGTATAGTGGCTGAAGACTGGGCCCTGCGACCAAGAGACCAGGGGCCAGGCTCAATCACTAGCCAGTTGCATGAACTAAGCAGAATAGATGAGTTCATCTTTCTGAGGGTTAGTTGACTTATCATCAACAATAACAATAATGAGAGCTATTTCTTAAGTATTGTTAATTAGGCTAACATATGTAGTATAATTTTTACAGTACCTGTGATATACTGAGTGTTAATACGTAGAATTCAATATTATGTTATTATAATATTACTATTATTAGGCTTGAAGTGATCAGTATGAAAATAAAGATTACATTTTAAAAATGACATTTATATGGTTTTTCATTCTACTAATTGTACTTATTAGTCTGCAAATAATAGTGGCTATAATCTGAATAATGTTGTGAGATTCATAAGACGATGGTGAATTATCTTCTGATGTTGGTTAGGTAGTGGAGCAATCTGGCTACATGGTATTTATAATAGAATAGCAAAGGTCAAAGGACACACAGCCAAATTTAGCCAGAGTGCCAGTGTGTCCCATCCCTGGTGTGAAACAGAGTATGAAAAGTAGTTAATTGAAATGGGTTTATTCTTACAGGAAGAAATTAGCCTGAGTCCACTGGTTTTATCACCATGGATAGACTTCATCTGCTCAGCTGTCCCATGGATGCCATCAGTTTTATGGCCCATAGAAGCTGGCTTAATGAGCTTGCATATCTACACATCCACTAAAAGGGTACTATGCATTATGCTACTGGTCATACATAAAGTGAATATCCAACCAGTTGATGAAATTAGGCCAATATATCTTTAGTGCCCTGACATTGTTATTGGCTATCTTTACTGAAATAAAATAAAGAACTTTTAATTAATTATTAATTTTTGTAGATAGCCCTATAAAATATTTTATTTCCAGTAAATAAAGGAACAGGAAGCAATTTTATCAAGGCATCATTGGAAAAATGAGGATCAGAACTAAGTTAATTATTAGCCCATTAAGCCCAATACTGAGTCAGCTGCTATATAAATATCTAAATACAATTTTTATAAGCTTCTAACATGCATTCTTTATACTATAAAGGTTTGTAAGTTCTTATGTTCTATTAAACATTTTACCTCAATAAATTTTGGAGCTATTTAAATTTTATACTTAGTGTATGGATCCAAGTATTTTTTGGTTTAAGAAAAAAGAAAAGACATGGTTTACCTGGTGTATGATCACATGTGCTATAGAACTTATTGAACTTAAAATTTTAGGAAACATTTGCAATGTCCACAGGAAGACCAAGGATGGAAATAAAATGAGAAAAAGAACAACTGACTATTTTTCCTAAAATTTTAAGAACATCTTGTAATGAAGTACTACTACTTTTGTCTTGGAAATGCTAAGTCTGAATTGTTTGTTCTATGATTCTAAGATTAGTCTTCCTGGGTCAGACTAACTGGAAGGAACTCAAAAGTAAAATACAATAATTTAGGTAATGAAGAAACAATTCAGCTTTGTATTATTCTGTGATTTATAATATTATCAAAATATTCAGAAATTAAATATGGAGTTATATTGTGTTAGGATAATGATCATTCATAATTAGAAATCTGTAAAATAAAAATAATTCATCCAACTGGGCATATAATTTAACAGCACACTCATAAGAGAGGAACAGTGTCATTTCTTTTAGTGAGAATCAGTAGCTATTACTTTCATTGTGGAAAGAATATTTAATATTATTCATGTGCCAAACATATTCATAAAACACTTCTCTCATATAGAGAGACTATTAGGTAGTTTATACATACTGCATTGAATTCCACCTTCCTCCCAAATTTATGATTCTCTTCAGGTGTTTACAACTTCTATTAATGATATTGCTACCCTCTCATTTCCCAAATTCCAAACCTCAGAATATTCTACGTCTCTCCTTCCCCAAGTGCCATACACCCAGGCTATGAACAGCTCACATTTTTCACAATAATGCACTTTGCAAATATTTCTACCAATGAGCTCAGCAAAATACCTAACACAGTCCCATCACTTAAAAGGAAGAAACAGAGACACAGACAGGTGAACTTGCATAAGGTTACAGAGAAATTTACTGAAACCACTAGAATTCAAATCATAATTTGTTTGTGGCTTGGATCACCAATTTTTCCGCTCTCCTGCTGTTTTTATTAATTTTACTTTTGCATTTTGTCTCACATCTGTCCGCTCTGTTCCAACCACCTCTTCCTTAGATCTGGCTCTTATGCTTTGCTAATATTGTCCTAACTGGTATCTCTAGTTTCATTCTTTGCAGACATGCTGTATACTACTGCTAACGTCACGCTTCTGAGAGATACTTTTTACCACACTCAACCCTCTGCTCCAAATTTTCAAAGACCCCTTTTTACAAAATCATGTCTAAATGCCTTAGTGTTGTGATCTCAATGTGTCTACACAAAATTTATGTGTTGACATTCTCAATCCCAAAGTTGATGAAATTAGGAGGTGGGGCCTTTGGGAGGAAGAGTCCTCATGAACAGGATTAGCATTCTTTTAAAAGAAACTCCAGAAACAAACAAACAGATAGATAATAGATAAATAGGTAAATAGAAATAAGAGACCCCAGAGAGACCTCTCACACCTTCCACCATGTGAGAACACAGCAAGAAATCACCAGCTGTGAGGAAGAGGGACCTCACTAGAAGATATTCAGGTTGACTCCTGATCTTGGACTTCCAGCCTCCAAAACTGTGAGAAATACATTTCTGTTATTTGAAAGTTACCCAGTCAGTGGTATTTTCTTATAGCAGCTTATGGGAAAATTTGATTGTATTATAGAGGTCTTATCAGGAAAGAAGTTAAGAGGGGAACTGGGTGACTCAGTCGGTTAAGCGTCCAACTTCAGCTCAGGTTATGATCTCGCGGTTCCTGAGTTCAAGCCCCATGTTGAGCTCTGTGCTCACAGCTCAGAGCCTGGAGCCTGCTTCAGATTCTCTGTCTACCTCTCTTTCTGCCCCTCCTCTGCTTGTGTTCTGTATCTCTCTCAAAAATAAATACACATAAATGAAAAAAGAAAAGAAGAAACATTTAAACAAATATGTACACTATACACACTTGTTTTGTTTTGATGCCTATTGGATGGAATCTCATTCCAATGGTACATCAGTGATCATTGAATTACTTAACTATTCACCCAAGTTCATGAAAGTACTTTTTATATCTTAAGCTCTTGATAAGCCACACAGATTGACTAAATACCCTTTAAATAGAAAGCAATTAAAAGTTATTTTTTCAGCAATAACTTACCAGGAACTGGAACGTTGTCTGTGTTTCTTTGGGTCCGGCCTATCAGGACAGTGGTCAGATTCCCTGTGGGTTTTTTGAGTGAACTGGGTTTCTTCAGCAATGGTTTTATTTGCTTCTGAGACTTGGCAACATTTACAAGACTACCAGACAATGTTCGATTTATATACCAAGTTAAATTGGATATGGCAATTTGAGTTTTTATTTCAATGACTGATTCCACAAAATCTGTCAGACCTTTCTGAAGAAGCTTAATATCTGGAAGGGAACCTTCTATCCATTTAGGTATGGTAGCATTCAGTTCTGATATACTTGTAGAAGCATTATGACACATCATTAAAACTTCATGCAGAGTTTTGTTAAGTAAAGTGAAGTTACTTGAAAGGTGAATGGATTTTGCTTCCAGGGCCTTAAATCTGGAACTCAGTACCTGCAGTTGAATGGTCTGGTCTCTCTCACTTGTAGCCGCACTGCCTTTTTTAAGTGAAACATAATAAGGTATGAGTGTCTTGGTCACTTTAGACTCAATTCCTTGCAACCTAGTTTCAAAATTTTGGGAAATCTTTGTGGCTGAGAGTATTTTTTCCTCCAAATAACTCATATTTTGCTGGTATTTTATCACTTGGAAAGTGGTTTCATTGAACATTTGATAAATCTTTTGAAAGTTGGACTGACTTAGTTTCTCATCTTTAGTACTATCTGCAAGGACCTTGGCAACTTGCAAAACAAAGTTGTATCTCTGGTTGTCATTGACCAGCATCTGAATAGAATCATTCAAACGTTGGAATTGAGGAATAAATGCTAAAATAGTTTCCATATTTTGGGTGCATTTATGATGGACCTCAGGATTATAGTTTATGGTACTGAAAGTCTCTTTTAGCATGTAGTTATCTTGAATGAAATCAATGGCATTATTTATAATAGTCATTGTTTTATTTAAGCCATCTTCCATTTCCAAGGCATATTCATCGATACGTCTGTCTAAGGCATCACTACGGCTCTGCACTTCATTCCTAAGTAAGTTGTGTCTTTTTGAAAGTTCTTTGATAAGAATATTTAGACTGTTGACAGCAATAGTCAGATTTTCCAATTTTTTCTTTGTAGCTACTGCTTCTTTTGGTTGTTCATGTGTCATCGTCTCTCTAAATGGTGTTCCCCGCTCAAGCAAGGGTTGAAGGATCTCCATATCATAAGTCAGATCATTTAGCTGCTCATTCATTTTATCCACCTTATTGTCCATTGGAAAGAGAACGTCAGCCAAAGTTTGGTTTAAAACTTGTAAATTCTCTTCTGTGTCTTTAATTTGAAATTTAAAATCCTTTCTGCACTTGGATAACATGTCTTCACACTCACTTCTGACAGATTCTTTCTCCATCTCCAAAGCCATGGTGAGATTGTTAATCTTGCTGTCCTGGATGTGCAAATCATCAAACATTTGCAGCAGCATCAAACCCTGCTTCTTTATATTCTCATGTAGAGCAGACACGTACTCAGTGACATTATTGCTAAGTGATTCAGCAGTTAGAACACCTTTCTGAACTGATACTTGTTCAGTTGATAACAGATGCTCATGTACTTCCCTCATTTTAAATAGAGTCTTGTTGAGGGATTCATAATACAGAACACTCCTTGAGTGTTCCTGTTCTAAAGCACTTTCTAAGTGAGTTTGCTTTGCTTCTAATTCTTTAATAGGCTTTTCACATGTAAAAGTAATTTTTTGTCTTATATTCACAATGTGATTCTTTAGATCTAGTACATCAGTTAAAGTGGGTCTATTTTCTTGCAATAAAACAGACTTTTGCTGGACTGCTATAGAAACCACGGATTCATTGACTTGCCGAATTAGTTGTCTGGTGTTTTCAAGGTCCTCTGATAGGCTTGATACAGTCTTGAAGAGCTGTGCTACAGTCTCTTGCATTTCATTTTGAAAAAATTTAAATTGTTCTCTTACTATATTCTTCACCAGGTCATTAATGCTTTTGGATTTTAGACCTAGAGAAAGAAATAATAAAAAATAATAAATGATATATGATTTTAATTATATAAATTTTAGATATCTCTAGAGAGATAAAAAGCTTGAGACTAAACCCTAATAACATGTAATAGTAAAAATACTTCTTCACTAGATTTACTTATGAAATTTTAAAAAATGACTATAGTTCATAGAAGGAGATCACCTTGTTAACTGATAAAATTGAGGGAAGAAATCAACTGGGTTGTAGAACACACCAGCACCATAAACAAAAGATATGAAGGAACTGCTACTGATTTCAATTAATAGACCTTGTATGTTACGATTCTAACTCTAGGCTTACTCTGGTATGAAAATAAATGGCTTTGGGCTATCTGCCTCGGTAAATAATACCTGGTGTTATCTCATGACTATGTTATTAGGTTTCTAGTAATTAGGTTTCAGAGCTTGTGTTTTGAGCTCATAAAAACTAATAAATTGACTGCAGAGAAGAAATTTAATGACATTCCCAAATGAGGAACAATATGAAGTAATAGTCACAAGATTCAACGATAGCTTATCATAAAATAAAATAATAATGAGAGGTTTGGGGATCACAAAACAAAGTCAGATGAAAATAGAAATTCAAGATGTACCTCAATTATCATAATATGACATTAATTCTTAGCAAAAATAAGAGGAAACTTGCTACTCCTGAAACACATATTAGTATCTCCCATATTAGAAAGCATGGACTGATCATAAATCAGAATTATGGACATCTCAAAGTAGTATTAAAAAAAAAAACAGAAAAGGGTCCTTGAAGGACTCAGAACTCAGAACTATTCAGAATAAGAAATGAATACTTAAAAATGTAAAAAACCAGCAAACCAAACCTATTACATACAAAAACAGGGAAATGGGAAAAAATAAAATATATGCTTGAGGTTTACTTCTAGTAAATAGCTATGAAGCACATATAAATGGAAGATATCTCCACTCAAATCCAAAATGTAGCAATGACTGTAATGCAATATACTACAAAGCATTTTGAACAGGAAAGCCTACCTAATTGTAAAATGAGTTATGGCTATCATAAAGCCTATTTAAGACGGATAATTACAGAATAAAAATATATAGTCTCTACATGTCTCTATTTTGTAAGCATGTTTTAAAAAAGTATTTAAGATGCCCAAGAGACTTACATAAAAAGTATGTGAAAGATCAATTATAGCAAATAGAATGATTTATTGCTTGAGCATCTTGTTATTAATCTGGTACAAAGACAAAGCCGTAAATGTTGTTTTCATGAACAAATATTTTCCTGGAAATCATATACCCTAAAGGTCAATGTTGCTAATTGATCTTTAGGGAATAGTATTTCTAGAGTTAAAAAAAGTTATTTTACATTTCTAAACATAGCAGAAACTGAAATACATTTAAAAGTCCAAAAAATATAAGTCACTGAACATCAATTTGTGTGTAATTGAAAAACTAATAGTAAAAATGTGAAGTATCGGAATACTAACAATGACACAGCATCAAAGTACTAAGTAAGGGCTAAGTTCATTAGAAAAGATTAAACAGCTACAATTAAGTTAGATTGTACTGAAACAGTCCTAGCTTTTATATTTAAGAGCATGAATAATCACACCAGAAGGCTTCTAAAGTATTTTTATTTTCTAAATTTTACTTAGCACTTGACCAGTTGCCTACATATACAACAAATTTACATTGAGGATATTCTCACATGCTACACAGAAAATAAAATTTGGAAAGTTATATTTCTCATACTAAAAATAGGATATGTTAGTTTCATTGGGTGTAAAGTGCTACTCAATAGCAAAGTTTTTTTATTGTACTTCCCACAATGTCATTTAGTCATTTCCTGTTAGTTAAAATTGTCTTAAATTTTCATGATGACTTGATAAAATACAATAAAATATTTAAGGTTAGGGATCAGACCTTCTTGGCATTTATAACCTTATCATTTGGCTTTAAAAAATTCTTCAAGACTTAAAAGGTAAAATAAAACTTAAGTGTAAGTTAACTAATTAATAATTGTGGACAGTAAAAATAGCTGTTTAAATTCAGTCAACAAAACCTATGTGATCTGAAAGTCAGGATAAGAATGATAGGTAGAAACATTAAACAGGTAAAGTTTAGTTCAGAATCTTGATGGGGGTAACTAGGAAAAGAAAGTGAATGATGAAAATGAAAATTAGGAGGTGCTTTAGCTATTATGTTTTAAATCTTTAACGGAAAATACCTTGGATTAAGGGTAAAATCAGAACAGTGTCTGAAAAGAAATTGAATAGACTATTAGCTTAGAAACAGATTATTGTTTCTGGAAAAGGAGCTTTAATATATTAATAAATTTGTTGCTAAAAAATCATCTGTGTAAGAATCTGATTTGGCAAAAATATGTCAAAGTGCCGTATGTCAATATCTGAGTGGGAACATAATTTTAACTCTGTTTGATTCTGTCTCATGTGCCTCACGTGCTTCTACCTCCTAAAAAAGGACATTGAGTGTGGTGACTTCACAGATACATATGATATCAGACACCTTGGTGTGCTCCTCTGTGGTTGTGCATGTATGGCCCATTCATAACATTCAGTTACCTCTTAAGGAACTGGGACATTTGTCGTTGAACAGGTTATGGCTACTAGTTGATACGCAGTGTTTCTCACTTTGGATGCTGAGTAAGCAAGAGAAGAGGTTTTGTTAGGCAAGTGCACTTCCTTGGAGTGGGTTTAGTTTCTGTTTCCTGAATGAACATTCATTAACAACTAGCCCTCTGGTTTTCATAATCAGTTATGCTTATTACAAAACTAATACCTCCTATTGAGGGGAGGATTTGTTGTTTATGTTGTTATGAGTGTAAATTTTATCCCTTTGTCATTGCCAGAAATCTTGTTAGTAATTTCACAAAAAGCTGTTGAGAGGCCTAATTGTCTCTAATTCTCTTTGGTTGTGACAACCAAATTTTGCTAAACAAATTTCATTATGGTGGTTATAGTCACTTGCATAGTGTTTCTGTTTGTCTTCTTTCACATGTTATCACTTCAGGGAAAATAAATTCCTCTCATATGCTTGCTATTGGTAAGTTTAGCCATAGAGGACTATGAAGAGCAGGGTCTTTCATTCATGAGCTGGATAGCACTAATTGTTTATATAATTTAAAAAAAAATCATGGTTGCTGCTAGACTGGTAGATGTTACCGAAACCTCCACTTTATCTCTTTTACTTGCAAGCCACAGGTGAAAAATAAAGAAAAAATAACATGTAATAGATATGGGGTTGGACAGAGAGTGTGTTTTTATGTATAAAATAAAGTGACAGGGACCAGTAATCTTGAAATTTGGAAACATGCAATAAGCCCAGGGAAGTGAGACATTCCTAGTGATCAAGTTACTTAAACTGCTTTGCCTAATTAATTCCTCCTGATCCATACCTTATTAGTTGAGATAGTGTCTTTTTGTAGAAGTCTTCCCTGGTGCCCTTAGCCTAGATTTTCTGAAACTATCAAATGGTCCCACAGTGCCCTAAGCATAAACTACCATAGCAACTACTCACTATCCATTGATCCCTGAGGTATGCAGAATTAATGCTGTTTCACTCAAAATGTCCACACCCGAACTTATGAATATGTTACCTCACCTGGAAAAAGGGCTTTGGGAGATATGATTAAGGTTTTAGACCTTGAGATGAGAGTATTATGGATTATCCAAGGGTGTTCAGCGTAAACCTTAAGCCCTTTAAAGAGGAAAAGGAAGGTAGAAGAGTGGGCTTGAGAAATGCCACGAGAACTCAACAGTGTTACTGGCCTTTGGAGATGGAGGAAGAAGGTCATGAGCCAAGAAATGTAGTGGCGTCTAGAAGCTGGAAACAAGCTTTAGTTTACAGCAATAGAAAACAGGACCTCAGTCTTACAACTGCAAGAAAATGAATTTTGACAACTGGAATTACAAGATGTGGATTATCCTGTAAAGCCTCCAGAAAGGAACATAGCATGCTGTTTTAAGAGCACAAAAGTTGAGCAAAACTACTTCATTTATAAAGAAATTATTATTTCTATCACCCTTTTTAGGTGATGTTTTAGGATATATTTCTCCATAAGCTAGATAATTTCTGGAATAATTATGTACTTTAGATTTATATTCATCATCTTCATCAATATTATTGAGACAGCCATGTATCTAGTTCCTTCATAATCATTCTTAACCTCATTTTATCTTGAACTGGAAACCAAAATGGAAGTAAATTAAGTATGGCTCATTTTACAAGTTAAGCTGTAACCAGTACATAATGAAAATAAATTAGATGAAATATTCAGTTAAAGATTTGACTATACAGTAAAAAAAATTTAGATGTTTCAAATTATTTCAGAGATTGATTTACAAATATCTTATTTCAAAAACGTAAGTCTTAGAGACTTTATACCACCCAGTCTAAAGGAAAAATTCCAAAGCAATATGAGAAAAGATAAATGAGTCATTTACCTCTTGTCTTAACTGAATGAATAATGTATTTTACTTTACTTGTACCTTTTAGAAAAGATTGAAATTCTCTGCCTTTATCTTCATTGATTTTCTCTTCCAGGGAGGAGTATGTGTTTCTTACATCACTAACAGCCAAAGAAATATTGTCAATCTTCTTTTGTAGAAGGGTCAATTTCATTGCCTGGTGGTTCATCTGCTCAGCCATCTTTTGTGTCACTGCTGCATGTAGAAGAAAGGAATATTGGAAGCATTTGAAAAAAAATATATATATAATACCACTCAAATATTGTGATAAGTATAAAGGTATTTCAAATAAATCATGTTTGTATTATATATTTGAAAATATAGGCTACTGTATATGCACTTAGCAAATGGCGGCCTGAATTTTACACTATGGGTAAAAATTTATAATATATAAAATAAAATATATATGTATGTATACATTTATAATATATTAGATTTCTAAAATGTTATAACTTTGCCCAGTTTTCAGTCTTTTGTTTTGTTTTTAAAGTTCAAAGAGTTATTGTTACATTCTTAAGAGGTGACAAATCTGAGGGACAGAAAATCAAAGTAACTCGTTTGAGGTTGCAGAGCACATACCTCATCTTCTGCCTATTTATTTATTTATTTATTTAAATTTATTTTAGAGAGAGAGTACAAGCCAGGGAGAGGAGCAGTGGGAGAGAGAAAATCTTAAGCTCATGCTCATCATGGAGTCTGACACTGGGCTCAATCTCATGACCCTGGGAGCCTGACCTGAGCCGAAATCAAGAGTTGGACGCTTAACTGACTGAGCCACCCAGATGCCCCTTGTCTTCTGCTTCCAAATCCAGTGTTACAGAATTAAATATGTATAGCTATATATACATATGTATGTAGTCATATCTATAGTCTGAGGATTTTATTCTTTTCTGTGCTTTTCTTTAATGAGTGCTAAAGATTCAGATTTAGTTTGAATTACTTAACATAGCTATAATAGTTTCCATACTTTTAGACATGCACTTCACTAATTTAAGGAGGATCTTATCATATTTTATGAAGATACTGAATTCCAATCCCTAAAAAACAGTACAGTTTCTATGATATATTTAGGTTTATTCCTAAAAAGTTCCCGTTAAGTCACATTTCTCAATTTGAGTGCACTAGTTTATATGACTAGATCTATGGCAAACACATAAAGGTTTTCAGCAGTAACTGCCCTCCTATTTCTTCTTTCTTTAAATGTTTTATTTATTTCTGAGAGAAAGCAGCGTGAGCAGGGAAGGGTCAGAGAGAGAGAGGGAGATAAAGAATCTGAAGCAGGCTCCAGGCTCTGAGCCAGCTGTCAGCACAGAGCCCAATGCGAGGCTAGAACCCATGAACCGTGAGATTATGACCTGAGCCGAAATCTGACGCTTAACCAACTGAGCCACCCAGGTGCCCCACAACCTCCCATTTCTAAGAAATAAAGGCCTAAAAGAAATGGTAAGGGGCGCCTGGGTGGCTCAGTTGGTTGAGCGTCTGACTTCTGCTCAGATCATGAATTCGTGGTTCTTGAGTTCGAGCCCCATGTGGGGCTCTGTGCTGACAGCTCTGACCCTAGAGCCTGCTTCAGATTCTGTGTCTCCCTCTCTCTATGTTCCTCCCCCGCTTGAACTCTGTATCTGTCTGTCTGTCTCTCTCTCTCAAAAATACAGATTAAAAAATAAAAATAAATAAATAAATAAAATTAAAAGAAATGGTAAAATGCTTATGATTAGAAAAATGAGAAAATATGTGGCCTCCCGACGTTGAATCAACAGGAAGTTCTCAATTAGTCACAATTATTTTCCCAGGTCAGTGATCAACATTCTCAGTGATCCCTTCTCTGTTAATGAAAGAGAGACTTCTTAGTTCCTTCAAATGATCACATCATTCCTTCCACGTCAAGATACTTCCATGATTGATTGCACTCTTTGGAGGACAAGAGTTTGACCTTACTTTAGAAACCTGTGATTTCTTTACAACCTAATACAACAGCATTTTTAATCGGCTTCTGTATTTGCACACAGAGCTTCGAAATTAGAGGTGGTCCCTTCAGGCTAGGAACCTAAAGCTCATCCACGGTTTCTCCCAACATGGGGCACCAATAGAAAAGGATTGAGAGGTATGTTGACATGTCACCATCAAACATTTGACAGCCGAGGGATTTCTTGTTTCGAAGTTGTTATAAATAGTGTTGACAATAATTGGGTTAGGGATGTTAGTAATTACAAGCTGTGACCTGGGTCACCACAGTCTTTCTGCTGCTTCTGTTTGGCTGTCTCTTTGCCAACAGCGGTGTGACTCTCAGCTTGGTTGCTGTGTATCAAGTGCTGCTGTTCCTGGGCTGGATAGACAAAAAAAGAAGAGAGAGAGTTAAGCTGTGGGGCTGCCTCATTTTTCCAATCCCGAGCAGCGATGTGGCTGCTGTTCATTTTCCCGTGTACTGAAGCATGATGGTCTGCGATGATTGCAGAGTGAGCTGCTCACCCCCATCGGGGAGGGGCAATGTGCTACCTCTTTGTGCTGGAAGTGCAGGGCTCTAAATCTCTTTGGCAAAAATAAAATTATTCAGGTCCCCTTTTAGGTGCAAATGGATGGTAGTTTGTGGCAGCTGTGCAAACAGGCGGAGGTAACCTGCCTGCATAATTGAGGGACTTGAAAATCAGCTGTGTGAAAAGCTCTAGTGGCTCTATAAGTGGACTGCCACAAAGCTGCTTGTTTAACAATGCAATTTCCAACTGGTGTCTCTTTGGAAAAGGGGGAACCTACAGGTTCCTTAATGAAAGAATATCTGTTTAAATAAATGGGCCATTCCCAGATTTTTAGGAAATAGACTCAGCATATAAGGAATACAAGTAAAAATAAACTATTACATCACATGTCTCAAGGGGATCAATCCATAAAATCAGTGAAATTTCAGAAAAATAGATATTCTTATAAAATAAATCTACTCAATTAAAGAATTGATTCGTCTTTCCCATGAATCAATATTTTAGATGGAAATACAGTTCTTCATTGAAGAAAATTTAGAGGGAAAATTTTTTAGAAATATTGAACACATCAAGTAATGTAGATCTGTAATTTGCAGACTTTTAATGGATAAAGGTATTCACTGAAGCCTGCATATCAGACACGGGAAAGCATGGGTTTGGTATCTGACTGTGCCTCTAACTATATGAAATTATGTACCAATGAAACTGTGCCTCTGGCACATGTTAATGATGCTTCGAAGGTATATGTAGCTGTGACAATAATACTAAAGAATCTCTATTCCATAGAAAGAATAATATACTTGGCATCAATGTGAGTTAGTCTCTGTCAAACTGAATTTTCCATTGCTTTTCTTCAGGGTATCAAGCTAAACTAATGAATTTCCATTCTTGTTCAAGTTTTCTGTTTTGATATTGTTTCTTTTTTTCTTTCCATCGTATTATAGACAGTCCTGTATAATTGTTGATTTATTTGGAAGAAAGCAAATAAAACAAAAAAACACAAATAAAAGCTTGGGCAGATTATACCTATTTCCGGGCTGTAGTAAGTTGGTAACAAGTTCTAATTTTCTGTTAGGTCCCAGCAATAAGGTTCTTAAAGCCTAAATTCAAATTAATTCATACAAATATATCTATTAAATACTTGCATAGATTTTTATCAAGTTTCCTCCTTAGATGACGTAAGAAAGAATTTTTCTGGCAGCTAAAATCAAGTCTAACCATGAGAGTAACTAGAAAGTGAAGCGATGGTTCTCAAACCAGGGTTGCTGGATAAGCATCCCTGAAAACTTTTTTTTTTTTAATGGGTAGTATTTTTTTCTTTATTTTCCACCTGCAAATTTTTGAAAATATAACTTCTAGGCCCCATTCCAGACTTGCTAATTTTTAAAAAGTCTGGAATGGGGCAATAATTTGTGTTTTAACAAGCTCGGTTGGTGTTTCCAATGCACAGTAAAGTTTGAGAACCACTGAAGAAGGCATCAAGCTATATCTTCCTTAGCAATTTCTCACCTCACTGCCTTCCGTATTTCTCTTAGCAATGGAAGATGGTTCAGGATACGGACGTGTAAGTATTTATAGCAAAAGGAACATGTGGCTTCAACAGGATGAACAAATGATCTTTTCATTTTTTTACTGTTTACCTTTTCAATCAAATCACAAGAAATTAAAACAATCATAGGAAAACAAAAAGAGCTGGTACATTTAAAGGCATTTCCATAATGTGGTAAGCAGAGGATACTTTCTTAGGAAGTAAAGAAAAACAGAAGCACCTGTAAATTCTGAAACACTGAAAGTGTCCATGTCCTTCCATTTCCTTACCTGAAGATTCTGATTCAGTAGATCTGTTCCAGAGAATTGAGCAGGTATATGTGTGTGTGTGTGTGTGTGTGTGTGTTTATGTAAAATATATGCGTGTTATATATATATATGTGTGTGTGTCATACATATCTGTATGTGTGTATATATACATATATATATAAAATTTTAAACTCTACAATTGATTTTTGATTTATGACCTTGGTTAAGAAATACTAACTTATAACAAAATTTCTAATTATAATAACTCATAAGACAGAAAATTCCAGATATTTTCATACTAAAATTGTAATCAAGAAATTTATCTTCATAGATTTTTAAACAAACTCTCCTGCCTGTTGATAACAAAAACATGTTAAAGACCTGATTTATTAAAGCTCTAACATATTACAACATTGAGTCTCCTATTGTTCCATAGAGAAGTGGGCTTTTATAAGGAGGAAGTAATTTTGATAAACATAACTGAAAAGCTTATAGTGCATTATTAAAAACACTAGGAAACAGATGAAAGTTTAAATTTTAGAAGCATTTCTTATGAGTGTGATTTTTTAAGAAAAGAAAAACAATAGAAATTTTATCAATAATGAAACTGGTCCTGGATTATCTATTGATACAGCGAAAAAGTCTGGAACACTTTTGATATGTAATATACCAAAATATTAATATTAATATTTAAAACAACAAAATATTGATATCAAAAATCAATTCAATATAAGACAATGTGTGTTTCTGGAATGAAAATCAACTTGATTTTATTTTCAGTAAAAATTAGTAGACTTTTACTTGCTGTAAAAATATTTGATTCAAATAATACTCTAAACTTGTGTGATTTAAATTTAAAATTAAAATCACTTGACTTATTTTTCATAATTAGATTCAAATCAGTTAAATTTTATTTTCAATCAAGAGAAAAATATTAAAGAACCTTATGAAATTAGTCTCATGAAATAACTCTTGAAATAAAAATTTCCAAGTAAAGTTTTTGAAATAAAAAATTCCAAAAATACTTTATCAAATAGTGTTAAGAAAAAAAAAGCAAAAGAAAATGTTTAAAAGATAAAATTAGAATTTTAATATTATATAATTGAAATGATGGAACATTTGAGAAAAGAAAATATTATAGAACTTACCTAAAATAATTCTGATATAGGCATATCATTAAGAATCAGTTTTATGTTTAGCATTTGGAAAATAAGCCTTTTTAAAAAAAAGTGGAGATAGGGGCGCCTGGGTGGCTTAGTCGGTTAAGCGTCCGACTTTCGCTTAGGTCATGATCTCACGGTTCGTGGGTTCGAGCCCCGCGTCGGGCTGTGTGCTGACTGCCAGCTCAGAGCCTGGAGCCTGTTTCAGTCTGTGAATCCCTCTCTCTCTGACCCTCCCCTGCTCACGCTGTCTCTCTCTCTTTCCTAGAAATAAATAAAACATTAAAAAAAATTTAAAAAAAAGTGGAGATAATATTCTAATAGAGATGTCAATTCTTTTCTAACTGTATAGGGAAAGAAGATGTTCGGTAATTCACTCCTCATTATATGAAAACATAATATACGTGAAATAAGAAAAATGAAATGTTCTCCATATTTTTGTGAAGTTTTAAGAAGACCGATTTGAACTAAAATATTGGGAAAATATTTTAAGTGTTAAATGACAAAATCTAATGTGATTGCATATCTGTGTGTATGTGCATGTGGAACTTTCCATTTGCTCTTAGCTATAATTATTTTTAAGTTAGTTGTTTAAGAGGAACTAAGTGAGAAAATTGTACTCATAAGTAAAAGAACAACCATTAACCATTGCACAAAGATCCTTGAAATCTGATTGTCATATGAACCTCTTTTCTTTGGAGTTCATTGGATAAGGTCCCTGCCAAGGCTGTTAAAAACCTGAAATGCCTGTTTAACAAATTCAGTGGTTTATGTTGTCTCTTCCTAGCTCTGTTTGTTGACTAGAGTTCAATACCTGCATTCATCCCAGTTTATTGCATAGGATTTAGCCCATGGAGAGTGCTGATAGGGTCTCTCACAAGTGGAGTCAGTTACTTTCCTGTGATAAAGTTCCTCTGCTTGATCGATGCTGTTTTATTTTTCCATGTAGCAATCTTTCTGTCTTCCCAAATGTATTCCCTACCACAAGGACTGCTGTGAATTCTAGGGTTCCCAAGCACTCTTATCTTGCACTTCAGTACAGACCTTTGCTTTGTTTTATAGAGCAGATTTCTAAGTCTCTTTTTCTTGGTCCTTTCTGAGAGATAGGTGCTAGGACAGAAGGACATTTATTTATGTCAAATAACATTTAAAGAGCTTTATGGACTTCAAATTTTTAAAAAACGCAATACAGTGGCATCTGGGTGGCTCAGTCGATTAAGCGTCTGACTTCAGCTCAGGTCATGATCTCACACTTCCTGGGTCCGAGCCCGACGCCAGGCTCTGTGCTGACAGTTCAGAGCCTGGAGCCTGCTTTGGATCCTGTGTCTCCTGCTCTCTCTGCCCCTCCCCCCACCTTGTGTGCTCTCTCTCTCTCTAAAAAATAAATAAACATTTACAAAAATAAATAAATGAAAGTGCAATGTATTTAAAAAATTAGATTCCTTTTTTTCTATTCCCTCCTTATTCTTCCCTTCCCTTTCCTTTCCGTTCTCCTCAACCCTCACCCCCTCCTCCTCTTCCTTCTTCTATTAGACAGGTGTTGTCTATGAGCATTTGGTTTTTTTTTTTCTTCCAGACCTTTGAGGCTCATGAAATCATTACTGGCAACTCAGTCATGAGAAAGCTTGCTCTTAGTACCAGAAAGCTTCCTATCTGACAGTTTCCTGCTGATCCTGTGATATCAGGTGAGTGCTTACTTGGTGATATTCGGTACATACATAAAGATTTTCTGAGATGTGGGAGTTAAATCAAAGAAAGCAATTTGATGCAACAAAGACTAAGGTACATGGTGTCTTTTGACTAAATGTATCGTAATTGAGCAAGATGCTTATAGGAGGTAATGTTCTTTCTTAAAGAGGAAAGCATTTTTCCCCATTGGGAAGAATTAGATATGCAAATATGTAATAAATTTATATACTTTTTTCTGTTTTAAGTATTTATATTAATTGAAGTAATATTTTAAAGTAATTTTACTGGAGAAGTTCCAAATTTAAAATGCTGGTTACAATAGCTTATAAAATTTGTTGAGCTATTTCACAGCATTTGGAAAATGAAATATTTTCATATATTCATAACAAATGGCAGATATCAGTTTACTTCAATAACTGTGTAATTGTATTTTTCAGCATTCATAGTATCTGCGATATGTATTCCAAAACATAATTTCATAAAATACCCTTTTCCTATCTGAAAGATCTGACTAGAGCTGGCTGGATTTTTTAAAAACAGATTTACAAAGAAGCTTTTCTTTCCTCCTCTCTAATCTAACATTATTTGAGCCTACATTTCTGTCTTTTTATCATTAGAGCAAGCCACAATTTCCTTGTTGTACTTCAGAACATTTTAGAGACATCTACTGGAAAAGCATATTATTGCAAATTTTATAAAAATGCTTTAAAAAGTAAATTGTTGCTCACATTCTGAAAAAACGTCTTGGATCCCACATCACAAAATCAGGTCCCTTTTTGAAGACAAACCCTTTGATTCTCAAAAAGGTATAACAAATGTAAAATATATCAAAACTATTACTTTGCTCTTGGACTTAATACTTCTTCCTTTTTTCTCTAACAAATTTCTATTCTTATAGGCTTTAAAAAAAATTTATTTTCTCTTGATAGTATGACTAATATATTTTTAAAAATTTTTATTGCTTTATTTATTTCTGAGAGAGAGAGAGAGAGAGAGAGACAGAGTAAGCGGGGTGGGGTGGTGGTCAGAGAGAGAGGGACACACAGAATCTGAAACAGGCTCCAGGCTCTGAGCTAGCTGTCAGCACAGAGCCCGACGCAGGGCTCGAACCCACAAACTGTGAGATCATGACCTGAGCCAAAGTTGGACGTTTAACCAACTGAGCCACTCAGGCGCCCAGTATGACTAATATTTTTAATAAGCTAATCTAGAGCTTTTTTTTTTTTTTACCAGAATTTTGATTATCTAAATTGTAGCAAAATGAGCATGTATAGAGGTTCAGTAATATTATAAGCAGCATATTGTAGAATAAGACAGCAGGAAGAATTTCTTCATTGATTTTGAATCACAGTACCCCTTTCTCTTAAAAATTTTTAAATGTTTATTTATTTTTTGAGAGAGAGCAAGTGGGGGAGGGGCAAAGAAAGAGGGAGACACAGAATCCGAAGCAGGTTCCAGTCTCTGAGCTGTTAGTGCAGAGCCCCACACAGGGCTCGAACCCACAAACTGCAAGATCATAACCTGATCCAAAGTCAGACACTTAACTGACTGAGCCACCCAGGGGCCTTCATAGCACCCCTTTCTCACAGGTTGGAAGTGGAGTTATAAAAGGGTGGGAAGAGAAAGAAAAAGAGCAAAAGGTGAAGAAGTGGAGGAGGAGAAATAAAAGAGAGTACAGTTGCTAGCTATTCTATTTTATTCCTGATCTATGGATCTTCCCTATATATTTAAAAATATCTCCCTGTTGCAATCTAAATGAAAAAGAAATTGTCACTTTTGTATTATGAAATTTATTTTATTTGTGGGGATGAAACTTTTGGGGAAGTGGGGATTTGTAAAATTTATTTCGTATTTTACATATCTTCTATGGATAAAATAATCTCCTGATGTGAAGGACTAGCACTGAAGTAATTATCACAGTAGCTACATGACCAGGTTATTCTAAACCCTTGAGGGCTCTGAAGACATTTAAAGAATGGATGAGCCACACTGATTATTCTTGCCATATTTGGGGCTGCTTGTTAAATGAGTCAGTGTGCAGAGTGTTGTCAAAGGAAACCTGACAATTTTCCATTCCATATAAGAATAAGAGACTGTTGGCACATATATAAAGTGTGGTAAGAAGAGGGAGAATTGGATGTAGAGGGGGAGGAATTAAAAGAGAAAAATATGTTTTTAAAGAAAGGAAAAAAAGAAAGGAAGAAAGGAAGGAAGGAAGGAAGAAACCCAGGATAGATGAAATAATGAAGATGGGTTCAAGGGACAAAGGGACCCAGTATTTCTTGACACTACCAGTGCATCAAATGCATTAATAAAAAATTGGACAGCTTTTATATACTGCAATAAAAGTGAAGAGTAAGATGGTCAGAATATCATAGGGAGCAAGAGTAGGGTTTTTTGAAATCACAGTTTTATTGAATTGATGGTATAGCATGACATCATGGGCATATCTGCCATGAGAAAATTATTCCTATCATAGATTTCAATAGAAAGATAACCTTTCCACAACAGCTTAATCAGCAGATGCTTGAACTATGCGTAATTCTAATATAGTATTGTGACAGAAGATCAGAGACAGATCTGTTCTGGGACATTTTTGTTAATGAGGATTCAAGATAAGGATTTGTAAGTCTAGTATTAAAAACATCCACAGGTGGCTTCCAGTTAGAACATGAGATGTCATTAAACAATCAAAGCTAAACTATTTGAATTCAATTCAAATATTTCATGTATAATATTTTGAAAAAGAGGGAATGATAGTACATAGCAGTTATTCAAAACTGTCAATTAGCCTTGTTTCTTGTGCGTGCATTTATAATGCTGGAATTCTATGGTTCTTTTCCTCACAGATGTAGTCCACCTCAGTGTTTAATAATCAATTAGTAGTTATAAAAGGACCAAGTGTGAAGCAACTACAGTTCTTATCAGCTGCAGCCCATGACATTCTTTGACATAAAGACTTTGTTTTCTGCCACATATCAACATTCAGTCCCCTATGTGCAATAGGGTGTGTAATGACATTCTAAATTTCTAGGAAGGTATACTGTGAACTAACCCTTGAATCTCTAAGAAATAATAATGGAATTAACATTCCTAAGATACAAGGATATCTTCATAGAAGAAGAGAAATATAAAAACTAATATTAGACTTTAGAAATAGAATTCTAATACTGTTCAGAACTTTTAACTATCTGCCAGATGCAGACTAAAGGCAAAAATGTTTTACTACTGTGAATATATCTGTGCACCTGCCAGAAATCAGTAATCATTTGAAAGCAGGGTCATATTTGGACTTCTTTAGAATATGCTAAGTTGCCTCGTTTCTAAATACCTTTGGTACAGATGATATTTCATTTAAAAGTTTATTTTACTTGATTATAAATGAAGTACATATTCATACTATACCCTGAAAATGTATTAAATTCTTATACCATCTCTGAAATTCAGGCCAGACCCAGAACAAATAGCGTATAGTTGAATTTGCCTACAGATTCTCACCAATGGCCTGGAAAAACCATACATAATATCCCTAGCAAGACTACAAGTTTCCTAGAGATTTTTGTATTACAACTTTCTTTTTTCAAAATGTGAATCATAATGGTTTTTCCACACTTACATTAATTTTTAATCACAGTCTCTCATGCTGCTGATTGAATTCCTCACCACTGCTAATGGTCTTTCTTGTAATATTCATTCATTTAAAATATGTATGCTGATGCCATATCTTATTTTTCAAAGGAAACCTGTTTAAAGCCAAAAGCAAAATAATAGCCACATGGATGTTACGCCACAGCAGGTTACCATGTGTTTGATTAGCCTTGCCACCAGAAAATCCTTAAAATTACAGTTGATAAAATGACTCTATTAGGATTTAAGGGGAGAAAAAAGCACAATTATTCATGCCATGTTTGTATATTCTTTAAAACTGAATCTCATTCATAGATATCATTTCAAATAATTAAACTAGAACAAAACTAGAAGTTAGTTTTATTATCACATAGGGTCACTTCTAATGATTATTTAAAAGTATAAAATTAGGATTTCTGATATTTAAATAAGGCATGTTTCCATAGCATACAGTTAAGAAAAAGTGTCTCATACTCTGTCTCTATCTCTCAATAATAAATAAATGTTAAAAAAAAAAAAAAAAAGAGTGGGGGCACCTGGATGGCTCAGTCAGATAAGCGTCCGACTTCGGCTCAAGGCATGATCTCGCAGTCTGTGGGTTCGAGCCCCAAGTCGGGCTCTGTGCTGACAGCTCAGAGCCTGGAGCCTGCTTCGGATTCTGTGTCTCCCCCTCTCTATGCCTCTCCTATGCTCATACCCTGTCTCTCTCTGTCTTTCAATAATAAATAAAAGTTAAAATTAAAAAAAGAAAAAGTGAATAGTCAGATCTCCACTTACTCATGCTATAAAACTAACATAATGATATTAGAACATATGAGATATCTCTGTAAAGAGATTTAGGGTGCTGAAATAGGCACTAAGTTAGGAAACTCTAGAGAGGTAACAGTTTTAATGATTTGGCTGTGAGTTAATTAACTTTGGTTCAAAAGGAAAAATAACAACTCTTCACTGGAATCAGCTGCTTATTCTTCGGAAGTTTTATGCTTCTAATTGTTATTATAAAATTACTATCAGAATATACCTGTTAGCTGACAGTTTGCTCCACTGAATCCAGGACAGCACTTCCATTCCAATGAGGTAACGATTTTATGTTGCATCCTGTAGACAGGATTTGATATCTTCTGAGATCTAGAGAGGAGAGGGATTATTTGTCTTTCATTAAATTATCAGTTGGGATAATTAAAGTTTTGGAGACAATGCCCAAAATATAATAAGCATTCACTAAATGTTATCTGTTATTATTAATGCTATAGTCTTCATCATCAACATTATTGTTAAACTTAGATATCTTTAAATATATTATGAAAAGCATTAAGAGTTATGCTGTTTGGGATTTTAAGTTTATACTTACATTTTCTAAATGTAAGTATCATTACATTTTCTAAACATAGTAGAGCTTTTCCCTTGATAATACTTTTAATGAAACCAATGTTAAAACTTACTCTAAGGAGCGCCTGGATGGTTCAGTTAGTTAAACGTCTGCCTCTTCATTTCAGCTCAGGTCATGATCTCATGGTTTCATGGGTTTGAGCCCTTCATAGGGCTCTGCGCTGGCAACATGGAGCCTGTTTGGGATTTTCTGTCTCCCTCTCTCTCTACTCCTCCCCCACTCACACTGTATCTGTCTCTTTCAAAAATAAAATAAACTTAAAAATATTAAAACTTGTTTTAATTCTACTTTTTAATCAGCTTATGAGGATAATTTATTCTATTTCAATTCTTATTATTCCTTATATAGTCATAGTTAAAAGGATCTGTTTTCTCTCAGATCAACATCAAACAAACTGTGTATCAATGATCTAACTGAAATTACGGTAACCACTATGGTTTTTAACCTGCACTTTCTCTTTTCTCAAGTTTTAGAGGTTTAATTTTTATTATTTCTCTCATATGGTATTTATCTCTGATAGAGAGAGAGATGGGGTAAAGAGAGGGAGAGAACAAGAAGGAGAGAGACAGGGAACTAACATGAGAAAATATTTTGGAAAAGAAACCACAAAACGGAAATCAAGAAGCAATCAATAGAAATGCTGAATGGTACTGAAGTGTAGGCTCTATATATGTAAATATCAATCATAAATACAGTTTTGTCATATTTACTCTTACGTCTCTGACCTTAATATTTAGCTAATAGTTATCAAGTGGGTCTATAAAATGGGTGTATATTATCTTGTTTAATTTTGTTAGTTCTATGTGGAAAAAAATTATAATTAGTATGATGTGCTGATGAAGAACCTGAGGAAGAAAGAGATGAAATAATTTGCTCAAAGTCTCATATCTAAAAGTGATCCATATGGGATTTTACTCCATTCTGAATGGGTTAGCCTCTCTTATTATCTGGAGTTTGTCCCATGCAACTTTGTGGAGACAATAGTCAATTTCATGGGTAAACCCTGATCATATGGAGGAAAACATATTGTAACCAGCTGAGCTTTGGGAGACTTGCTGTGACTTGAAGGGTAATTCAGTATGTGGGAGGTTGTTCCTCAATTTTAAAGTGAGTTATAAGACTCTTTCCATCTCAAAAAACAGGTTAATCATTCACCTGTGTTTATTTCAGTAAATTATATTCAGTAAGTAAAACTCTGTCCAGTGAACTATCTCCAGTCCAATAGTGAAAACTGAATTGAAAAGAAGGCTGTTTGGAAAAGGGCTCTTTAGAGTTATTAGGATGAATCCACACAGTTGGTTGCATTATTAAAGGAGTCAATGTCCCTGCTTTAGCAAACTGGATCCCTGGTATATGTGACATATAGCTATAATGAAAGAAAAAGTAACAAATATTGCATATATACCGAAATAGTGAATGAATGGAGAGACTCATTCAAAGGTAGAGAAAGATAAGAAATGAGAATAAAGATATGCATTTCTGGTTTGTTTAAAGAGAGAGAAAGAAAAAAAAACTCACCTTGAACTCAGAAGGACAGTGTAATAGGGGTTACTGTGGTAATATTTTCATTACTGAAGAATTAACAATGCATTCTTTGTTTCTCATGTGGACAAGGAAATTGCCACAAAGGGAGTAAATGCTGAAAGCAGAACTGGAGCTCAGCTCTCCCAAATCCCTAAGATGTGCTTAGTTCTCTGGACCATGAACCGTAGCTATTCCTCTGGAGAGTAAGAAACACCTTGATTTTACAATCCTTACCATGCACTGTTCCAGATTGCCAATGTGTCAGATTCATTGCCTGAGTTATTTGTATGACAATTTGCATAACATGAGCCATCATGGCCTGAATAATAATTTCAGTTTTTATTTCAGGGTCTTCTGAAACACGCTCAGATAAGCTATTGTGAGTGTATGAATTCAGAGAATTTATCAATTACTCAGCCTCACATTTGAGGACAATTTTTAAATGTCCTGAATAGATTTTTTAAAAAATGAAAATTAAGTAACATGAATCATTAAAATAGACATATAAAGAAAGGCCCCACTTAGCTATTTTATTGTCCATTATTGAAATTCATGGCTTGCCAAGTTATGGACTTCTCTCTGACCTAGTATGAAAGGGAAATTATCAATAAAATTTTAGAACTGTGTATGAATTTCATAAGAATTAAAAGACAGGATTATTGATCAGGTTATAGAATAAAAATAATAGTAATAGTAAAAATGGAAATAAGCATGCAAGTTAACAGTTGTGGAAGGCTCTGTCAGTAGGCTAAGGTTATTATTGCATTGTCTCACAGTTTCTAAAAACTCCCAATGAGGCGTGTGTTATTATTATCTGCATTTTAACTTACCCAAGATCATGTGCCTAATTTAATGTGATGACCCTATGAAACATATGTACCTGGGATGATTAGCTTTCTCTACATATTGCAGGACATACATGAATATAGAGTAAGAAGTGGCTATTTTCAAACAGTATCACGTACCTCTGAGGACAGGATCCCCTGGTCCAGCCACAAGGCCCTCTCCCATTTGGAAGATAAGTGACTTGGTTGTCTAGTATCACTGTGGGAGATAATCTGGTATGGACATAAGCACACCAATTCCTAAGGAAGAGATCATTTTTGTTGGAAAAAAATCATTATCACAAAGAATTCTTTTCATTAAAAGTATTTTTCATAGACCTCTATCTACGGCTGCCAGTATTGTGGAGTAGATACTCTGTACATATGAAAAGTAAACAAACACTACAAGAAAAAGGAAATTGAGAATAAATAAGACTTAAAACCAGAACCTATATTGTTCAGCTATAAATTAAGTCAAAATAGAGGATTGCCCTATGTCAAATACCAATATTAGTACTTAGATTGGAGACTCAGACCTAGGTTCATTATTTCTGGTGGACAATGTGCAGTAAGACAAAAGCAAATAAATACATGCTGTAATAATCAAAGAGAGGAAAAAATAACTGTTGCTAGAAGCAGATAATATAATTGTGAATAAAGAAAATATGAGTCTAGATATAATCTAAATATGATTATAAGAGTTCAGCCATGTAGTTAAGATCAATATACACTTTTAATAATAAAAAAGTATAATCACATAGTTAAGATCAGTTACAGTTCAATGTACCAACAAAAAAAGTAAAAAAAGATGCTATTTATAACAGCAAAAATTACATTATTCTTATTAAATCCAACAAAAGGAGTGTGAATTTAATATATATATAACTTTTAAGCTTTGTTGAGAGGCCTGAAATAAAATCCAATAAATTCTGTTAGTGGATGAGAACAGTCAATTTAAATATATCAATTCTCTTCAAGTTAATCTACAGAGTTAGTGCACTTTTAAGTCAAACCTTACTTTGATACAAGTTTAATAAGCTTATTGAATTGTTTATGTAGTAAACTAAAACATGAATTTTAGAAATATCTGGCTCTAGGGGCGCCTGGGTGGCTCAGTCAGTTAGGTGTTAGATTTCGGCTCAGGTTATGATCTCACAGTTTGTGGGTTCAAGCCCCGCATCGGGCTTTGTGCTGACTGACAGCTCAGAGCCTGGAGCCTCGTTCAGATTCTATGTCTCCCATCTCTCTCTGACCCTTCCCTGCTCATGCGCTCTCACGCTCTCTCTCTCTCTCTCTCCCCCCCTCTCAGAAATGAATAAAACATTTTTAAAATTTTTTTTAAAAAAGAAAGAAATATCTGGCTCTGTCCATAATAGAGCATCAGATTTACTTTCCCTTGGTAAAAAAAAAAAAAAAAATCTGTAAAGTTGGACAAGTTATATAACACAATAATTTTTAGATGTTGAACAACAGACAATGCAATGATATTAGTTTTTTAGAAAAGGTGACAACATGATATAGATTCCATACTTAATCTAGTTTTCTGCTTCCAAACAGTTTTCAAACTGCATCACATGGGGGTTAGGGGATCAAAGAGAGAGAGAGCACTAGGTGAATGAAACAGAGATCTGAGTTTGGGGCTACTGAGATGGTTAGAATATGTGGATAAAGTGAATAAAATGAGGGGGAGTGACAGAGATGCCATTTTAAAAGTCAATATTGGGTTGAATACCATGCAGTGCTTGCAAAGGGTAGTTTTTGCAAGGCCACCAGAGAAGGAGTATTGTAAAGCTGAAGGAGCTGAACAGAGATTCCAGATTTTACCCAGTTGTGGAGAATTCTGACCAGCCAAAGAGGATAGTTCTCATTAAACATCTGAGCATTTATCTGAACCTAACAGACTGCATCCAGGAGAGTAAGAATAATCCAGACACAATCCAACAAAGCCTTAAAAAAATCCTGATACAAATAACTCCATGCCAGAACAGAGGTCAATGCTCTATAATGGAAGATAACAAAATCTGTTCATCACATAGCAGCCCAACATAAAAAAATGAATAACAATAAAAACTACATATATGAAGAAGCTGGAATCTATGACCAATACATGAGTAAAAATCCAATGAACAAAGACAAAATAGAAGAGAGATGGTACAAATATTAAATTAGCAACCAATGACTAAAATAGTTATTTAAACCTATTCAAGATCATAAAAGACAAAATGAGCACAGTGAATAAATTCGTGTCAAATCTAACAAAAAACATTAGAACAAAAATACACAAGATACGAATAAAAATTGATTAGACTGGATTTAGCAGAAGTTTGGACCCTTGATGTTAAGATCAATGAACTTGGAGGCAGAACACAAGAAACCATCCAAACTGAAGTACAGAGGAAAAAATATTAAGGCATAAATGAACAGAAATTCAAGTGGTCTAAAATATATGTAGTTAGATTTCTAATGCAAATCCACTGACTATCCTAATTACAGAGAATGACTAATTTTAACAGAAGTAGTTAAATAGTCGGCCACATAAACACTAGCTGCATAACTTGACGGTTGTGTACAAGGCAGGAAAAAAGTACCATCATCCATACATACTTAGGGCTTTGGAAAAGAAAAGGTAGATAGATAGATAGATAGATAGATAATAGGTGATAGATATAGATATTGTTTATGAGGACAAATCACAGTGTCTCCTGCAGAGATCTTTTAAATTCCTAAATAGTAAAACAATCTCATGACTAAAAGAGTTTAGTAGGCGGAAAGCAGACCAGCAGATTGCTTATGACCCAGCAATCTTTGATCTGGTGGAAATTGGAAGAACTATCCACAGCCAAAGAGCCCCTAGTGTGACTTGTAATTAGGTTTATGCTACTGATGAAATAAGCTTGTTGAGGGATGTTAAAAATGTAAATAGAAAATTTAAAACCAAATTATCAGAAAACATAAGTTTAAAACTAGAAAATTAAACATGATAAAATGGTGACAGGCAGTACAAAGGCAAATGTAATGATCCCAGACAAGCATTTTGCTTAAATCTAGAAGTCCTTTGTACCTTTCCAGACTGATTATGGTGGATGGAGAGCAGTTACTTTGAAGTGTTTAGCTTTCCATGGGGTCGCAACCCTCCAAACAGCAGACTGCATTTAGGATTCTCTTTAAGGGTAATAACACTGTTTCTTTTGTGCGGCAACATGTACTGAAAAAAGCTTGTATTGATTCTTCGGATTTTCCAAGTTAATAGGTAAAAGGTTTGTTCTAGGGAAAAGCAGCAGCATTGGTTATTTATGAACACCAGCCTCGCTTGCAGACCATACAGAATAGAAGGCAGAGAAAGGATTCTAGTTTGACTTGCACAACTTGAAATCTTGTGGGTAATGACCTAAGAGAAACATTGTAAAGAAACAATTTATTGTACTTTTGATTGAAATGTTTTAGAAACTCAGTCTTTCAAGGAGCTAGCAAAAAGACAAAATTAAAAAAAAACATTTTTTTTCATTAATTAGTGATTTGCCATTTGAAGCACATCCTGACCAAACCATGACTCAATCATATCCATTTTTATCCTGAACCAAGAGTGGACTGAAGCAAAAAAGGATTCATTTAAATAATGAGCACAATGAATATTTCCTGTAATAAATAAAAGAAAACAATCTATGAGTTAACATTATCCATTTATACTAAACCTTAAAACTCAGATTATTAAATTTCTTGCCATCTTATTCACAAAAGGCTGAATGTTTAAACTTCATACTGATAATCTGTGGCTTGAATAGTCACAATAGTATGAAAATAAAAAGTCTTGAGGATATTCAAGAGACATCAAAGTAAACCAACAAATCCCCCACCATAAATTAGCCAATGGTATGTAATTTTTTCCTAAGAAGTTGGAAAAGAGTTTATGTTTGGGGAGACATTCTGAATTGAAACGACTTTCTGATTTTGTTTCCTGTCATCTCCTTATTGAAATGAATTTAGAGATTCGAAGAAGAACAGGAGGAAAATGAAGCTAAACAAGACAGACATGGCTATGCCTGAAAATTAAAACATTCTCAAAGAAAAAGGATTATTTTGTAATTCTCCTATAAGCCTCCCACATCTCACCTAACATCCACCTATGCCTCCCTGACTTGAGAATCAGTCTTTACCTTGTAACTAAAGGTGACTAAAAATTATAAATGATAAGCATATATACATGTATTAACGAATTCATAAATGCCTCAGGGAAAACACTAAATTGTCCATGGGATTTAATTTATAGATAAAAATATTAATTAATCTTCACAAGAGAATAATTCACTCATGCTGCCTCTGATTTACCTTATGAGAAACACTTTTGTTTTAATTATAAGATGATGATTGTATGGAAATACATCTCAACAAAAACCTATCTGAGCTACGATTGACCATTAATAACAGCAAAATTATGAAAATATGTGCATCATTGAACACTAACCACCTCAAATACAGAGCAATGAAATCCCCACCAAATTCAGTGATAAGTGAGATGAACATATTCTAAATATATCAAAAGTAGTCATGTGTTTTTAATGACAAGTGTTTACTACTTTTGTTAATCCAACCTACTCAGTTCTCAACTCAATAACATATATGGTCAACTCCTCTTTCTGTGTCTTTCTCTCATATATATTAGTAAAAAGTAATTTATTTTAAAGGCAAGATATCCTAGCAAGCCTAATTTTTTTGATGTCATAATTAGGGAAGAAAATAATCAAATAAAGCCTTATTTAGTTCAATATTTCAATTACTAAGTTCCTGAGGATACATATGTGTTTCTAAGTTTGTAAGAAGAGAACAGATTTCATGTAACACCACGAGTCAGGGTAAATGTTCTCCCTATTGCACTATCCTAATTTAAATTAAAATATTGTAAATAACAACAGCCAAAAGGTGGAACCAATTAAAAGGCCTACAGACAGATGAATGGATAAACAAAATGTGGTATATAGGTATCTATCTATCATCTGTCTCTCTACAATAGAATATTATTCAGCCTTAAAAGGAAGGGAATTCTGTCACATGCTACAATATGAATGGATGAAAAGGGAAAAGAAGGAAGGGAACAGAAGGGAAAGGCGGCATTTCTCTCAGCTTCACAGCCATCATAAACACATGCTTTCCCCACTTCTGCAAGTCAGATTCGGAAGGTCATTTCTGATTATGAAGGGCGGCCTCCTGAACAAGATTTTCATTCTCTTTTTTTACTCCACACATGCAGATAAAGGAAGAAGAGA